GCAGTTTGAAAGTACTTCAGCTTCAAACTGTTGACTTAAGCTTAGGGCATAATTTACTAGTACAGTTTCCTTTACACTATTCTAGGAAACTGTAAAGTTGATGGAAAATACAGCTAATTTCTCTCTCCATCTATCCTTCACAGAACACTACACAAACATATCTGTCTTAAAAGAGAGACAAAATAGGATACTATATTCTACTGTCCACATTTTTCAGCACTCCTCTGAGATCCCCCAATGTTTTTTAATCTTTTATTTACTGTTCAGAAGAAATATTTAAGATGAGGAGTGCACCTTTCGGTTGCTACAAATCAAAAGTTGGAAGGTTTCTTCTTGAAAAGGGCATCCTTAAATTCTTTTCAGGAAAATTCTCCAAATCCTCTTTCTTAAAATAGCCACTAATTCCAGCTGTCCTTTACAGGACTGCTGGTATTTCACAGCTGAGTGCTGTCTTCCTTTGTTCCCAAAGCAAAATTTCCTTCAGGAAAAAAAGAAGCCCTGTGTCCTTAGAAGAACCACCTATCTTATAGAGTGACAATGCCAAATGGAAATCAATTTTAAGCCTGCAACTGGAACCAGGACTTCCATATCTATTCACTCAGTGCTCACTTCTGAAGAAGCATATACAGACACACTTCCTGCCACCTCTCAACTACAAAACCAGCTCTTACTTGCACAAATTGTGCACACCAATAGAGCTGTGTATAAACTACTCTGAAAGCTGTGCTGGCTATGTCCCACATAAGGAGCATTAGCTTTTGGTTTTTTCTTATTACAGGGTAGTGATCACAATAAAACTCAATAACAAGTCAATACTGACCTCTATCAGTGACACATTTTAGAACACTTGAAGAACACTGAGTTTTAGCTGGTTCAGGCAGAACTGGCAGCAAGAGATTAGAACCAAAGGTAAAATACAGCAAGAGAATTAGAATTAAAAAGCAACAGCTTCTGTCGAGTTTAAATCAGGGAAAACAGTAGCAAACTTCCTTTGGACTGTGGTCAGAACCAGCGCTTGTACTCGACACAGGCAGGTCCTGTCGAGCGAGGGAAAGCAGCAGCATTGCAGCAGCAGCATTGCAGCAGCATTGCAGCAGCAGCATTGCAGCAGCAGCATTGCAGCAGCCGGGCAGCAGCGGCCACATTCCAGCCCGGAGGAGAAAACAGAAGCCTTGAGGACACTCACTTTCCCAGGAAGTCCCACACAAACCCCCCTACGTGTTGCGGTGCGGGGACCAACACCTGGTAGGGAGGGTGCAATTTGCGGGAGCCGTGCTTTCTGAGGAAAGGCACAGTCACAAACATCCCCCGGCAAACAAAACAAAACAAAACAAAACAAAACAAAACAAAACAAAACAACACCACTCGGGGGAGTGGGATGGGACAAGGGGGAAGGAAAAGCAAGGAAGGAAACAGAACACAAAATGAGAAGTTACAGAGAGACAGGAGGTTATGGAATAGCAATACAAAAAGCAAACAGTTAGTTACAAAGGAAGTGAATAACCAGACAGCTACAAAACCCTCTACACCACTGCAACAGGGGACAGAAACAAAACTTACTGCTCACCCACAGAAGAAATGTGGACTTAGGGCCCACCTTCCCATAAGAAAAAGCAAAATCCTCCCCACAGAGAATATATACCAATGCACTTGTGCTTTCAACCCTGCATTCACTCTAGAGTATGTTTCAACTTTTGCATAGCATGCACCATACTTAATGTATTTGTTTTAATATCTTCTGCTTGAAAAGCAACATCTCCCACTCAGTAATTGCAACGGCTACTGAAGAGTGGAAGCATTGCCCTCTTTATGTTAACTTAAGCACAAGGCAGCTTTGCCTGCACTGAAAAGGTTAAAAAACAGTTTTCTGCTTTTAATTTCATCTTCCTTTCCCTCTTGTCTTTTCTCTTTCTCTGTGCATACCTCCCTAAGAGGCAGCACATCTCTTCTGTGGATGAAACTGTGATGCCATTTCTCTCTCCCTGACAGCATATGGTCTAGCTGTCACATAGAACTAGCAAAGGGGAAAACTACAGGGAAGAGAGACTCTCTTTTGAAAAATTCCATTTTTTTTAGTAGTTGTTCTCTGTATGTGACTTTTTTTCTTCTCATCTTGTTGCACATGGAACACTGACTGTTCCTGATAGGCACAGCAGTATTTGCTGCTCAGCTTGCTGACAGCTGCTTCTGCAGGCACTGAGGCTCTTCTTGCACTAAGGCTCTTCTTTGAACAACACAGTTTGATCAGCTGTAAAAGCATTAGAAGTCAAGATAATTTCTAGCTCGCTCTGCATGGACCACAGTTTAGGAAAGACTTTTTAAAAGGCAAAATTATCTATTTTTTTTTTCTCCTGGAAACCAAGACTCTTCTAGCTCTAAAACATGACTGGATATATAGGTTCAACCATGACAGAATATTTTATAAACAAGCATTGTAGATAAAAACAGGTCCAACCTATACAATAGGCATGATAAAATCTCTGCTTTGTGCAAAAACTCATAAGAAGAAAGCAGCTTTCAGGGAATACTTGTTTGGGGGAGCAGCTGAAAACGACTGAGCTCAAATAGAAATTCCAACAATTATTCAGAAAAAGAGAAATTACCAGTCAAAACCTCACCATAAAGTATCTGGAAGTTTCTATCTCTTTCTCCAGTGCTGTGTTTATATTACAGTTTCACCTGAAAAATCATTTCAGGTATTGATACCAATCAATGTTGTGGCTCATTCAGCACATTAACAGCATCCAGATTAGATCTTTAGCTCATGAAGACTTTTTCTATTTCCACTTAGAGTGGTTATAGAACGTGAATATTCTTAGATTTTTATCCTCCCCTTGATTTATGCAGCTGCTGGAAGTCACATGATAACAAAAGCAGTTTTTTCTTTTACATAGTTGAAATACCTATTCCCATTACTAGAAATAAGAGAAAAAATATTCTATCTTATCTCAGTACTAGTAGAAAAGATAAGTTAAAAAAAGAAGAGGACCGCTCAATTTTTTGCAAGACTGAAGATCAGAAGGTAAGAAGGAATGGATAAAACTAAATAGTCAAAGTATTTACTGAACTGTTATGGAATGGTATCTAGTTATTTGGGGATTTTATGCTTTCATAGTAAGATTTTAGTCTGTGACTGAAACATCAAGAAACTACCATGTAATAGGAAAAACAGTAACTGCTTTCCAGATGTCTAGAAGTGCATCTTTTCCAAGAAAAGCATGCCTTCTAACTCTTTGAAGATGGTGTAAATGCTTCTATCTATAAAGGAGGAGACTCATCCTAATTTCTTTTGTTATTTTTCCTTTGTGAAATATAAACTTTTTTGTTTATAGGACACTTGATTCAATTTTTGATGCTTCAAGTCAAATCATGATTCATTTCTGAATGTTAATGTAATAAAAAAATCAGCTTGCATTAAAAGTGTAAGTAAGGAAATTCTCTTCCTGCCATTTTAATCTCCTCTAGGAATCAGGCTGAGGAATGATGCATATTTCTGACTTTCTTTTCCTAAACAGTAGTTACTTCACACAAAAAAATAATAATAATTAAGGCACATGAATATGTTTCTTCCCCCATCTTATTTCTGATAGAAGCTTGCTGCCTGTACCTGTTCCCTGGGCAACTTGCCTGCTCTAAAGAGGATGACACAGGGAATGTCACACCTGAGATGGGGGCCCCAATAGGACTGAAAAAAATCACAGAGACAAATAATTTGCAGCTTTTTCATGTCTATACTCATTCAACAATACCAGCCTATTGCCTGAATGTTCTGCTGATTGCATTATGTACCAGTGAGCTGAACAATGCATCACTTAGGAAAAATGGAAAGACATTTTAGAAGAATATATCCTCACTTCTGGGTGTTCGTGCTTATGCCAAAGGTATGAAGAATTTTTTAAATAAAACAACTTAAAGAAAACTAACAGGATGTTGCTTACAGTCACAAAGGGAGAAGAAACCCAGCTGGCAAGCTGAACTGTTCCAGAGCTCTGTACATTTCAAAGAAAAGAGAATGGACTCCTTAGAAAAGAGTTTCTCAAATCATTCAGAGGGGTTCACAATTTGACAATCAGCAAGCCATGAAAAATAACCACTGATTGCAGAACTTTTAATGGTCTCCACTTAGTTGCCCTAATCTTCCTGACACTAAATTGTAGAGTAGTTAAATAGTGAAAAGACAGAAATTAGAAAGACTATTCTGGCACAAGGCAAATGGAAATAATCAAATTTCCATTTTGCCGCTCCAAGTTCGTGATTTTTCATTGGGAATGATAAAGTAAACAAAAAACCCCAAAGAGGTATTACTGCCCAGAAATCTGCTCTTGGCCCACTGCAAGGTGAGAAAATGACAGAACACAGAATCTAATTCAGGTATTTCCCAAGATCTACTACCTATAGCTGTGATACAAATGCCATTAAATCATAATAAATCATAGTTTTTTATTGGGACATTATAGTCTTGAGCCTCCTGGCTCCAAGAGAAAGAAGGAAAATGTTGTGAAGGGCTGAAGGAGGTTTTGCTTGTACAAAAGCAAATCTGCTCATCAGATTCACCTGGGACAAAGTTTACCTGTGTCCCTACCAGTACCGAGTTATGAGGCCTGTCAGAACAATCTGAGTAAACAGTATCACAAGCTCTGAAGACTCAGTTTTCTTATTTGTTTTTGTGAGGGCCATTCCTAAGGTATTTACTGTATCAAAACAAAGAACTGTTTTATAAACACACCAAAATGTCAGCAGCTTTTCCTACCCTCTCCATTCCCTTACAGCTCTATCTACCCTTCTAGTTCTACCTACATCAGTCCTATTTTTCAGTAGCCAGGTAAGAGAAAGCACATGGTAAGACACCCTTTTTATAAGAGTGTAGCACAATAAAGGACCAAAGACAGAAAAACTCTAAACAGACTTTCCCAAAATAGGTTTTTAGGACAAGAAAAACAACTTATCTCTAGCATTAGTCAGCTCTTTGGGCTCCTTTTCTAACTTCACACCATTCTCACCTTTCCAGTTCTGCTATCTTCTTATCCTTGTCATTCTTCTCATTCTCCATCTCTTTCAGGATCTCCAGGAGCCGATCCACCTCAGCCTGAGCCTTGCCAGACTCCTCCCGGTACCGTGTCACCTCCCTTTCCAGCTGCTGCATGCGGTCACTCAGCTCGGGACTGGCCCTCGCCTCCAGGGTTGCCTCATGAGCCTGGCAGAAAAAGATTCAAGAAAAAAAACACTTCATTCACATGAATATAGGTTCAGTTATTTAAGGCATTTTTAACCTATATATTCTAGAAAAAGAAATCACAGGTTAATAGCCTTCAATAACTACATCAATATGCAAAGTGTCAGACCTTTGCACAAATGGTGCAAAGGCCTGTGCTAGTTCTGTGCTAAAGCCCTCCCTAGTTCTGTGAGCCACACAAACCAGTATGAGTATGGCTACCTACTGAAATTATCTTTGCTTGGTTATCTAGGAAATACATTTTTCAAAATCAGGCTATTGGGACAAAAAGTACGTCCAGACTGAGGATGACATGATCCCAATGAACAGATTGTTTGGGGAGTTTTTTTTATGGCTTAGTTTGTTATAAAAATCAGTAATTTATTAGTAAACCTAATCCAATAGATGCCAAGCATGTAAGAGACAGGAAGTATGCAGTACCCATGCTGGAAGTTAAACCAGCAGACTAAGGACTATCCTTTTTCTCTCACCCTGCCCCTCTACTCTTGGATCTTGAACTGCAATTTAATATCAATTAAAGCTATTTCAAAATTGCTCAGAATTGCTTCAGGGAATAGAAAGTTTGATGGAGCTATGCTGTTGATCAGGATTGCCTGCAAAACACAAGGCCTTGATCTTCTCAAAACAAACCTACAACAGAAAATAAGACTACAGACTTTTCTCCACTCTGTGTGCAGCTGTGGAAAGTTGTTTTACAAGCTGCCAATGTTCTGCTCCAAAGCACACTCAGTCTAGATCTGATAGTATAGGACTCTGTTGCTTTTAAAGGTAATTGGAGAGAACTGCAGCAGTAAAAAACTCAGGGCAGAAAGCTGCTGCTTCCAAAGAACCAAACAGCAAAATTACATTTGGCTAAATCTGTTTAGTTATTTAGTAAAATAAGACTGGAGGAAAATATCCATTAATTGACCCTAACATTTTTGCCTTGAAGTGTCTAGCTTTTAATTAGCTTCTTTAAAGCCAAGGCCAAATTCTAGTAGAATCCAGGAAACTTGTGGAGCAGAATATTCTCGGACTGTGGAACGTCTTGATGCCTGTCCTTAATGGGACTGGCCTTGGGATGGATCTGGGTTTCCCAAACTAAGGAAAGGTTCATGTCCCAGGGCCTCAGCCCTGGAGTTCTTGTCTGAGGGTCGAAACAAAGCTGTTGTGGCTTTCTTATTTTAAAAAACAAGAATTCCAGAAAGCTGATTACCAGGACAGTATTCTATCCTAACACAAGATGCCTGGCACTCGCCAGGTCTCCCAGGCAGATGTCAGCAAGAGCACCCAATAACCAAAAATCATGGAAGAGCAGAACCCTTTCTTGAGGTCATGCATTTAGGAACACTTAAAGGGCTCTCTTCTTGTGAGTGACTTTCCAGTCAAACCCTGATACTCCTGTGTCACTGAACCCTAAGAATGAAAACCCTGTGTCTGGGCTTCTGGCTGAGACCTGGCCACAAGCGCATCCCTGTGAGCCCGAAGGCTTTGGGAAGCCTTTTGGAGTTAGAGCTGTCACTGCTTCCAGATTCCTTACTGCCCCATAAGCACTTCAAATTACACACCCTTGGAAAGGGCTCTCCACAGCAAGTGGAAGTGTAATTAATGCCCTGCCAAAAGGATGCAGACTCCAGGAGGAATGGCAGCAGTGAGACTGACAAGTGTGTCAGCTCCACGAACAGCTGCGAGCACCAGGGGACACACTTGGCTTTTCAAAGAGCCTTGGTGGGTGTTTCTGAAATGCTTTTTTGGAATTTCCAGCCTGTGGGAAATCTGAAATACTTGATTTCATTTCCTTTTCAACTACACCTTAAATTTTAAAAAACCCCTCCAATCCTTCCTTCCCAAATACAGGGAACTGGGAATACTGTTTTGGGGGCACCTATATATTGACTGAGGGCATCTGTATTCCCCTAAGAGACACTAAATATAGAGTTAAGTCTGGTTTTCACCAGGCAGAGGCTGAGTCCTTCTGTACTGGATTTAGGTATGTTTCCAACATCTGAAATTGTTTGTTTTAACAAATACTCCTCCAGGCTCTTTAAAGTCATCCAAAATACATGATCAGATAATCACAAAACTTCTTTTAAAAGAAAGCAAAGTTAGGCTGTTAGCCTGGCTTATTAAACTCACTAATTCAAAAGAAGTTATGAGACCTAATGCAATTTGACTGTCAGAACAGTCCTGATTTATTTTACTCTGCTAATAAAAGCATCTCCACAACAACCCAAGAGACACTACCGAGAAGAGGAAATAAATTTTCTTTTCTAGAGAATTAGCCAACAAGTCAGTGTGTCTGGTTCTTATAGAACCAAAGGGCTATTTACAGGACATAAATTATTAGTTAAGACACGTAACACATGTTATTTGTATATAATGCACATAAGTATGGATACTTTCACCTAACACAAAGAGAACGTTATGTGATATGCTGTAAACTGGAGACCACTTCCTGCACTGTGAGTTACTGACTGAGTGACTTTGGTCCATTTTGTGGGTTTTGTACAAAATACGTGTTTCATGACCATATCTAAAATCCTACTGGATTCATTTATTGTATAAGAGAGAAAACCAATGCATTTAGAGGTTTCCCACAAACTCACATCAAGATCTGGAACAGATGAAACTGGCTACCTTCCCAATGCAACACTGTGCAAAATAATTCATCTCGGTTTTTTTCCTTTAACCAAAAAGCTAAACACAAATAATGAATTCCTATATTCACAGTAAAAAAACCCACATAGAACTTGCCCCGCCCATCAAAAGTGTGCAAGAACTCCGAAGTAGAAATTTTGTTTTTGAAGCAGAATCAACATATAAAATGACACATACACCAAGAGTTTCTCCTGTATTAAGAGACTATAAGAAGTGAATCTCCCTAAGTTTGACTCTCATCTCTGCCCGACACAGTACTTGTAAATCTGCTGCCATTTAATACAGTTACAAACAAATGTGATCATGTATAAAAGAAGTATGATAAAAATTAAATAAATTTGAAAAGCAGCTTACTGAGGGTGAAGGGAACACTGCAGTTTCTCATCTCCACAGGTCATTGGGTTTACCTGATTTAGAGGTTATTTAAACCCTTTAATTGTTACTCCTGACCCTGTCATTACCCCTCTGTGTTCCTGTGTGGAATCAAACAGGTGCATTTAAGAGCACAGCCAAACTCGTGCAATTCATCCTGCACTGACCTACATAAGAAACAGTCACATTTTAGCTGGAAAGCAGCACCCTCTTAAACTCTGTTTTTATTAGCAAAGCTCATCTGATCAGTATTAATCTTTGCCAGTGTGAATTCAGTTTCAAATTCTAAGTGGTACAGGACTGAAAATAGTTTAAGTTTACTACTCTGGATATGCTCTCCCAGTTCTTAAGAGGGACTATAAACTAAGAGGTGGTTTAACAGCTTTCTGCTTTCCTGCTCTTAGCCATCATTTCCCATCTGGAATGTGGTAAGTGATGGGGTGACTGCTTCAGGTACCTACAGAACATAAGAAAGAGTGATTGTTCCTCAAAGAAATAAATATACTCTAACTTCTATTGCTTCCACAGAAAATCAGCTGACAAAGCCAACTTCTACAACTAAAACAAAGATGACCAATGTTTCATAGAAATAACCAATATTTACAGATGGAGAGGAGTGGAAGACAAAACACATTAAAAAGAATTTTCTAAGTTGATATTTCTCGTGCCAAAACCCTCTTTTTTAAGAGGTAAGATAATCTTACACAGCTTAAAGTGCGCCAGAGACAGGGAACAAAACAATAGTACAGATCTAATTTAAAGGTTCTAAAACGTAAATAAAAATTCCAAACATTATGACCAAGACTCCAAATCAATACTCCTAAAATATTAACTAAATCAAACAGCAAATAATTCACAGCAAACACTTTCTACTTTTACCTAGGAATTAAAACAGTAAATTCAGTTTAACATTTCACATAGAAATGTTGCCAAGAACTTTTGGCCATGAAGTAAAAGTTCCCAAGAACCTGAAATCCCATTTTAATCTGCCCTCCTACCTCTAAGGGCGCCTCATGTCCCCTAAAAATAGTAAATGCACACACAAATACAAAAATATATTATGATTATTTACTGCAAAAGACAAACACTTTACCCACTTCCTCTACTTTTCCTACCACTAAGGCAGAAACGCAACTGATAAAACATTTGTGCTGTCTTCTATCGTGCCTTTATTAGTTTTAACAAAATTGTAAATTTAAAAAACAACCAGACTTTCTCCTCCTTTGGTTCCAAGGCTCTACACACCCCAAACTGTAAAAAAGCTTTTGTTAAAGGCTCTAATGGAAGTAAAAGGCTCAAGAAGTTCTCTGATATACGATGTACTGTTAACTTGAGTCTGTCACAGAGAGTTATTTGCTATCTTTTAACCAGCTCTACATGGTTAGTCTTTGGTAATGGAACTTCAAAATTTCGACACTGAATAAGCAAGTGTTCAGTTGGCATCGATTCATAAAATTTTTTTTTTCTTTATGAAGAAACATAAAGATAGGAAGACACCTCAAGAGAGGCAATTTCCATTACTTAAACAAGTGATCTCTTTAGAGAGATACAAGTTCCCATGGATGTCATTAAACAGTAACAACTGGCCCTCTTTGGATTCACCCCAACACAAAGTGTGCAAAGTCAGGAGGGAACAGGACATCTCTCTTTGTGAGTGTATTTTAATCCCCCCACCTGCATCCTCTGATGTGGCCCTGACTCACCTGACCACAGGCTACCACAGTTTTATAGAAACAGGACTCCAGTACTGAACAGACATTTAGCACCAGTTCTTGGATATTCAAAGTATGGCTCTATACGTTGCTTATTCTGAACTGCAACCTGACAGTAAAAGAAATAATTCCCCAATTTTCTTTCTGTCACGATAATCACAACTAACTACTTCTTAATACCACCAGTGGGAAATGAGGATGCATTATTATACCTGTTGTGCAGGGGAAAAAGCAAAATGC